GGGTTTGGGCGTGGGTTTGGCGTGGGCTTAGGGTGGGTTCGGCGTGGGTTCGGCGTGGGTTTGGGTTTGGGTTGGGCATGGGTTTGGCGTGGGTTTGGGTTCCCACTCCAACTAGTGGGTTTGGCATTTTCGAGCGCATCAGTCCGACACCGCACCAAGGCAGCGCGGGACCCTCCCGGCCGCGTCACGCAGAAGTTGGTCTAAATCCTCGTCGCGAATATATATGGAGCTTCCGCAAGCCGCTCCGCCCGAGTGCGCCAAACATACCTCTCGCGAGCCCCTACGACAGGATAGGGCCTACGCGAGGCACGACTTACCTCCACCTTACTGGAGCTGTCACCTCCCTTCGATGGGCGTATCCCCGCCGAGCTACCAGTCCACAGTACGAACGTTAATCAGTTGCAATCGTAGAGGTGGACCAGCCGATGACGTTTTCTCGTTCGTTGTAGCATAGGGGGTACGCGCGGTAATACGCCTCTATCAGACCCGCACGCGACCTGACATCTAAGGGGGCTGAGGTCCCAAGCGCGACTCGTCGTCGGTCGACTAGGACGCATCCCACACACCACGCGCACACTACCCTAACAACCACAAAAACAAAACACACACACATGAACGCAGAAAACGACACAACACGAACAACGCAACACAAACAACGCGACAATCTCCTAGTCCCTCGGTAGCCTACCTATAACTTTCTAATGCGGAAAATCGGATAGGTGTTGCGCGTGAGTCTTAATATAAAACCGCACGAACGCAAGGCTAACTCATATTGACTCGCAATGCAAGCGTACGCAAACAGTCGCGATGATGGCGTACTATGTAGTGCTCATAATCAAGCGGTCCCTCGTGGATCCGAGTACCGCCTATGACACTCAAGTGTCAGACTCGAAGAGTCGTGAGGGTCAAATCCCTCACGACATTGCACGACTAAAGGAATAGTCGTGCAGCTGCCACGAGACCTCCGACCTTTGGTCTGAGCGTCTCGGTAGGTAAGGCAAATAGGCTCTGCACGGGGGCAAATTCCTTCCCAGCAGAGTCTAGGGCTTGGGATGTCCTGGACAAGGACCTTGAATCCCGGCCCAGGACTAACGTCCGATTAAGAAAAATCCTCAAGAAGCAAAGCAATATAAAAGGAAGGGTCTTCCCTGGGCCTTCCAGTCTTAACCTCTTAGTATGCTCTTTGTACGGGGTCCCTTAACCCATGCAGACATGCATCCCAAGTATACCCATATATACATATATAAAAGGGGAAATATGTGACGATCACTTCTCACAGTCTCAATGGGGTCCCTCACAACCATATGTATATATGTGATCGCAGGCAACCAAATCCAGAATCTAATTCACAGCACACACTTGCAAATCACATCAACGAGTCAATTCAACAGCCCACGCACTACACGGAGTCAACTCCGACCATCTTCAACACTCATACCCCTCGCTTTAGCCATGCAAGCCTCAACCTCATGTCCAACCAACCTTAATTAAATACTCAATACCTTTGTTAAATGACCATTCAATAAAAGTCTGGGTGAAACCTTAATGAAACAATGTAATTACCAGGGAGCCTTTTAGGTTGAGTGTGGAGGGTGAGCTGGAATTGAGTCGTAGACGGACGAATCTTCAATCGAGTTGTTATCAGTGATAACAGATGATGATCCTCAAGGGATCAAGTTGAATCTAGTTCGAATCTTGAATCAGACGATCAAAGAAGACATGTATCATATGATAAGTCAAAGTCTAAGCTAAATCGTCAAAGTATGGAGATCAACTCCGAATTACACGTTCTCTCTCAGGACTTTCCTGGGAGCCAAGTCAGGTCTACCTCTAAGTCAGCGCCCCAAGGAAAGGTAGACCTATGGCAGAATCTCCCGTATATCGAGTGGATCACCAGGGTCGTCACCTATGAAAAATATAATCGTTCTTCTTTAAACTAAATAAATTTCGGTAGCGCTTCCCGTAGGAAAAGTGTCTTTTCAAAATTTA